CCGACCCTGACCGCTGTTCAAGGGCAAAGATCTGCCGCAAAACCTTCAGCGGAAGTTCCCATAACCTGCACAGCCGTCACGCGACTCGTGATGCAAACCTATGGACTGCGCTTGTCGGGTATAGTGTGCTCCTTGCGAGGGGGCCATGATCGATAATTCGGGTGGCTCGGTTCTTTGTGGTTGGAGCTCAAAGCGGGTGGCTCATGGCGGAGCGTGGATGGGTAGGAAACGTGTTGAAAACGTAAAGCAAAAGTATTGGAAAGTATTGTATTCATCGGGGGCGTGCCAGTGCTCGTCAAACCTTCACGGTATGTATCTGGGCACGCCTTCACTCTTTGTCACTCAACGAATCTCTCTGAATCTCCACCAAATACCTCTCGCAACCAAGGAATATATGTAGAAAGTTCCTATCCCTCCGCATCTCATCACTGTTGCTTTCGTACGTACGTACCGGACATCTCAACCGTCATACTATGCTACGAGTACTCCCAATATATCTAATAGCCCCCCTACTCGTATGCATCGTCATGCTCCGAGAAAAACCAAAATGACCCGTAGTCGACCGTACCACGAAGGCATGCCTTGTCAGCAGTCCTGCTTACTTCAAAACAAAACAAACCATCAAACCAAATTCCTCTTTACCATCTCTCCAAAACAATCAAGAAAATTCTCAAAACAAACAAAAACCAATATCTTCGCGCCTGGTGTCCTCCGCTGCTTGGCGGGCTTCCGCTGCTGGGCGGGCAGAAAATTCTCAAAACAAACAAAAACCAATATCCTCCGCTACTTGGCGGGCTTCCGCTGCTTGGCGGGCAGAAAATTCTCAAAACAAACAAAAACCAATATCCTCCGCTACTTGGCGGGCTTCCGCTGCTTGGCGGGCAGAAAATTCTCAAAACAAACAAAAACCAATATCCTCCGCTACTTGGCGGGCTTCCGCTGCTTGGCGGGCAGAAAATTCTCAAAACAAACAAAAACCAATATCCTCCGCTACTTGGCGGGCTTCCGCTGCTTGGCGGGCAGAAAATTCTCAAAACAAACAAAAACCAATATCCTCCGCTACTTGGGCGGGCTTCCGCTGCTTGGCGGGCAGAAAATTCTCAAAACAACAAAAACCAATATCCTCCGCTACTTGGCGGGCTTCCGCTGCTTGGCGGGCAGAAAATTCTCAAAGCTCAATTCGTCTACTTTCAGTCATACGGAGAGTTGCAGGGTGAGGCACTGCACCGATATCCCCTGATGAAGTCTGGAGGCGACCGGCCATGGCAGTCGCAATCGCGTCGGCCAGATCGTCTGCGGAAGGGTTGGGTGTTGGGCCCCCAGGTTCTTGCTGGTGTGGTGCCTCTTGTTCCTCATTTCCTCGCCGGAGATCTTCTGATCTCTGCCGCTCGGTTCGATGCCGTACCTCCATCTCGGCCATCTTCTTGGCCAGTTTCTCCTCCATCAGCTGCTCCATCCGAGCTGCTACTCTCTCGTTGATTGACCAGTTCTTCGATCCTGGCGTCCTCCGCTGCTTGGCGGGCTTCCGCTGCTGGGCGGGATTCATCTTCGCACCTGGTGGCCATCGTGACCCTGCTCTTGATCGCCGCAAAGCGATGCTCCTAAACCAAGCTCGACCGCGAATCTCGTAGACGACGTGTCATACGCTAGCGTGATCGATAATTCGGGTGGCTCGGTTCTTTGTGGTTGGAGCTCAAAGCGGGTGGCTCATGGCGGAGCGTGGATGGGTAGGAAACGTGTTGAAAACGTAAAGCAAAAGTATTGGAAAGTATTGTATTCATCGGGGGCGTGCCAGTGCTCGTCAAACCTTCACGGTATGTATCTGGGCACGCCTTCACTCTTTGTCACTCAACGAATCTCTCTGAATCTCCACCAAATACCTCTCGCAACCAAGGAATATATGTAGAAAGTTCCTATCCCTCCGCATCTCATCACTGTTGCTTTCGTACGTACGTACCGGACATCTCAACCGTCATACTATGCTACGAGTACTCCCAATATATCTAATAGGCCACAGGCTAGGAGGCGTGCGTCGATGGACACGCACGTGCAAGGTCTGGACACTCCTGCACGCCCCGCAAAACTCCAGCGACACAAAGCTGCAGCTCCCGCGTAGACGCATACCAACGCGCACCACAAGCCTGATTCAAGGCCACGGTGAAGGCGTCCAGGCAGTCTCTCTTTCCTGAGATGGTGGATGGCAAATATACCCAGTAGGAACGGAAAAGAATAAAGTGTTGTGGGCCTTGGGACGGTTTCTTGCAACGCGTCTGGTTGCGTGAAGTCGGAAAAAGGGAAATATGACGGAGGGGAGGGGGGCGCTTCGGGCCGATAGCATAACAGCTACCACGGATTCCAGACCAGCTGCCAACAGCAGCCCTTGATCATCAAACACAACGGTGCCTTATGAATGATCACGTGTTAATAAAAATGGTTGCGTGCGACGCTGGCGGTGGAATAGCAGCCGGATTGGCCGATCCGCTCTTGGTAATAAGCGTGCTCGCTTTGCTCGCCACCAGCTTTGCCGAGATTCGCTGGGCATCCCTATTCTGTCCTATGGCATCGAACCGCGGCTAGCATACGGCCATATTTTGCTCGGTTGTGGAGAACGTCATGGCAAAAGAATGCGTGGGCTTGGGGTCCAGACGCGCGACGCTTGTACGTTTCCGCTGGTGTGCCTGCGATTCGAGGTGAAACGTTGGCTACGTTGGCAAGGACTGGTGTGTGCGGGGGCAGCGCCATCAATCTCGTCGTCGTAGCTTTGTTGAGCTCGGAGAATTCAGCCGCCGCGGAGAAGAGAAAAACGCAGAAACGCTAAAAAGACGTCAAGAGGATGCTGGTGAGCGCAGAGAAGCAAGACAAAATGCTTGCGTTTGGCACCGACCGTTGTCGCTTCGATTGAAATCCCTTGGACAGGGCCGTCGAGGCGTAGGTCGCGCGAAGGCACCGCCTAGATTTCGTGTCGTATCTTTGGCGAGCTGAGAGAAACCAGCCGCGGAAAAAGGGCCGCTTTAAAAAAACGCGAACAACTTATTTTGTTTCCTTTGTTTCCGCAGTAAAAAACAATCCTATTCGGATTGGAATGGTTCAGGAATTGACTTGCTGCCGTGATTAAAATATTTAGCTTAACAGAGACAAACACGCAACCAAGCCTCCCCAGGCGAGCCAAAACTCGAGTGTACCTCCCACCGACTTTCAGATAGCAATGTGCAGTTCTTCGATGTACCGATTGTTCACCCGCCCCCTTGGTTTTCATTATATTGCCTGAAAACGCATCACAGCCGGGGTTAAACAGTCAGACAAGAGGACTCCAAGGGCACCAATGATTACAAAACACTCTGGAGTGAAAACAAAAAGTCAAATGACTACGGTACGTGTTACCTGGAAGGTTCACTGCCCAATTTTTATGAACTCAAACGATTCCCTAGCCAAAAAGCTGTGTCACAATTCTCCCAACTACCGCCGGCATTCGTTCGCCTCTCTCTCTCTGCCGGTGGGTATGGGAGTTTCTCCCCTCATTCACCGCTGCCGTGACTTTCGGCTACAGAATCCAACTCACAACATGAGTTGGATACGCACGCAGACGGGACACCAATATACACTCGGCCCAACAAATATCAGGTGGTGGATGTACGGGGCACGAAAAACGATATTTCTATATCTATGTTGTTTTCAATGTATCTGAAAAAGGGCAGGTTTGTTTAAGGCGTAGACAAAGGCGTAGACAAAACAAACCGAGGTTTATTGAAACAACTCGAATTGCCATACTGTTTATATTGGGGTACCCGGAACGCATTGCGTACTGCGGGGCCCCCTCGGTCGAGAGGAGGAGTCGCATATGTTACCATTCTGTTGAAGCCTTGTGTCCACAGAGTATTAGCGTGCCAGAGAGAGAGTATCGCAGAGACAACTAGCGAGGTGGTCACATAGAAGGCTTCTAGCGGTGTGCCAGCCTCTGGAGCTGACAGGAAGTGGAGTCTTTTACGCGGAACTAGGCGCAGGCAGTATCTCAAAAATGTTGCCAATAACTTGGGAAGGTGCTTCGCCATTGATAAAAATTGTGCAGTACACTAGTTACCGCCCGCACTTACGAATCTCTTGTGTTGGCCAAGGCTGGGGTTCTAAATGCCCAGGGTCATCATGTGCCACTTGGCCGCAACATAGGTCTTAGTGAGTGTAGGGTTCTTATCCGAGCTCGTAAATTGTGCTCAATTTCAGATTTGGAGTTTTTCGAGGCTTTTATCAATTGAACTGCCAAGTTCTTACGTGCTTTAATAGCGCTGACTGATAATTTGATCTCCAACACGGTCCCCGCCTTGCATGTGAGAGAAACTACGCTGCACCCCAACCGTCGGCAATACATACCACTCTTTCTCGCAACTATCACCCACATAGAGTAAGCCCTCGCGTACGGTTCTACACTGCTCTGCCACGATCGATCGCCCTCGCCAACAACACGAGCCAGAGCGAACTCGTTCAATAAAACTCCACCTCTCCCGTCAAACCACGTCGTCGTTAACACTGTACGTACGCCGTCGACGAACAATCAACCAAACGAACGCTCTTGAAACCTCTCTCTACACTGACTGACCTGTCGGAAAACATCGGGGTAGCGTTTGTCTCTACCCCTTCCCCCTTCCTCAACTTCGTTTACCCTGCTCGCGAAACCACATCACAAGAAAGTGCTGCTTTACGAAGGCCCCCGTCTCGATGTCCCTTTTGATCCCCTGTTCCGCCTACCTGGATACTATTTTCGTAGCAGACGCAGCTCACCATGGTATAATACTCTAGCCGTTGCACCGACAAAATGTTTGGAAAGTCTGATTTGGCCTTCCGCCAGAGGTTCTTCTGCACTGTATGTAGCCGAACTTTACCTTACTTTTAGCTTAACCACAGGCTCTCCATGGCCGCCAAATTTGTGCTGAACAAGGCAATAATGAATGATTTTTTATTGATGTGACCAACAAGGGAATCGAAAAATGCTTACAAGAAGGCATTTTAGACAAGTACAAAAACTGGGACACCCGGTACAAAACATTATAGTCGGCACTCTCCTTGGTTTCCTCACGGAGGAAATAAGAACTTGGACACCACGCGGCAAAAAAAGTACCAAAGCTAGTGGTCTCCTCGGTTTACTCGTGGAGGAGATCGGCCACGAGGGTCGATCAAAACAAGAGGTTCTGGATCAGCGCGTATTCTGCATCAAGAACCGATGCTGTCCATCGCAAATGCTGAATGGGTAAATCGTACTTTCAGACACCCCCGGACAAGCGCCTCTCTCCACACGTCTGCACAGATCAGCTGGTTGGCTGTGTGCGTGTTCGGCCCATCTAGTTCGTGTGTAGAAAGCACGATTTGGACAGATTGAAGCCGTACGTTGGCAAGATTACGACACCACAACGTCTAGAGAGCGGCGAACAAGAGCACGCGCAATCGCCCAGTGATGAAGGATAACCCTCCCGCTGACTGTCTATGCTGTCGCTCGCCTCCGAATTCGAAACACCGACAATTTCAACCGCAGCATGCCAAACACCTAAACTGCCTTACGCTTCCGACGTTCGTTTTTCCTTGTTGAAGCTCTCCGAAAAACCCTCAGGTCAACGGAAAGAAACGTCAGCCCTAACATAACTCACCACAGCCACGAAAAGAACGACAACGACCCACCTACCCCGCAGATTTGTTCGTATCCTGTGGAGTCAGTCTAGCTTCCAATCCACCGTCCTCACAGCTCAGCATCATCGAGGCAACATACAATCTCGCCGGTACATCTCATCGGGGAAAGACGACGTTCGATTCTCCATTCCCAGTGGGTATCAGGCCTCACGTTGCGGTCGCCAGGCAAAATCAGCAACATGACACATGCCCGGTGGCATGCTTGAAAACAGAAACGCGCCTCCAACCCACACCCCCCGGTGCATTTTGTCCGTCAGAAAACAAACACAAGAGACAACACATATATCCGGTCTTCTATTTATTTTGTACAGAGCAACACGGTCTACATCCTGCGCTGCGACGCACACCCCGCAGCGATCACCTCGTCTCCAAAAATTCATTTGTTCCATCTTCATGTCTGAAATGTAATGACCACGGACGGCAGCTTAAGGCTGGGTTTGCTTGCCTTGGGGGCGTGAACCTTTCGCCGCCCATCACGCCTCTGTTCCTAGACAGTGTGTGGCATTCCCCAAAGTCTCGACGGTTCCGTGCCAGCTATGCAGGAAAACTGAAAATTGCTACCCGAGACTTGTTTGCGCTGCCGACTCCCAAGCAATTGATACCGCTTTCGAGCGTGTCGTGTTTCGAAGGGACGACGTCGTGAACTGGGGGGGACAGCCAACTCTATAACGGTGGGCCTGACACGCATGGAGATCAAAATTGTACCTCGACGCGTCACGTCTTCCTAACCGTACCCTCCCTGTTCTATCTGGCGGAAAGAAGGACCCACACAACGGGAGAGCGTGGCTCGATAGCCGTCACAGCAGCGAGATTTACCGCGGCCGCAGCGGAGTGTTCGGTGGAGGAGGAGACGGCGCAAACGAGCCCGGCGGCGACGGCCAGGGCAGCGACGGCAATGTAGATCTTGCGGTTGTTGTCGGCCTTGCGGTGTCGCTCCTCGAACGGTAGCATTCCCTTGCCGTGGTTGAGCAGTTTGAGAGCGGCAGACTGCGTCCTTGACGAGTCACACTTCGTAAGGAGGCCGGCCACCGGACTCCGACGAGGGGCTGGTCAAAGTGACCTCCAAACGAAAGCTGCTGCAGGGAGGCCGGCCACACTACGTCGGCGATCGGCCGGTTGAAGCCCCAACCAAACGATAGCCGCCGCAGAGAGGCCGGCCACGCGACTCCAGCAATGGGCTGGTTGAATTCAGAACCAAACGTTAACTGTTGCAGGGAGGTCGGCCACACGACTCCGGCAATGGGCTGGTTAAAGAAAACGCCAAACGACAGCTGCTTCAGGGAGGGAGGCCACACGACTTTCAAGATTGGCTGGCTGAAGGAATACCCAAACGATACCTGCTGCAGGGACACCGGCCACATGACTCCGAGGATGGGCTGGTTGAAGTCAGAATCAGAGTCAAACGATAGCTGCTGCAGGGACGCCGGCCAAATGACTTTGGCGATGGGCTGGTTAAATTTTGCTCCAAACGATAGCTGTTGAAGGGAGGCCGGCCACACGACTTCGGCGATGGAGTGGTTGAAGGAGTATCCAAACGATAGCTGCCGCACGGAGGCCGGCCACACGACTCCGACGACTGGCTGGTTGAAGGAGTATCCAAACGATAGCTGCTGCAGGGAGGCAGGCCACACGACTTGGGCGATCGGCTGGTTGAATTTTTCGCCAAACGATAGCTGTTGCAGGGAGGCCGGCCACTCGACTCCGACGATGGGCTGGTTGAAGCCACAACCAAACGACAGCTGCTGCAGGGATACCGACCACACGACTCCAACGATTGGCTGGTTGAAACAACGTCCAAACGATACCTGTTGCAGGGAATCCGGCCATACGCCTCCAACGATCGGCTGGTTGAAGGAATTCCCAAACGATAGGTTTCGCAGGGAGGGCGGCCACATGACTCCGACGGTGGGTTGGTTGAATTCAAAATCAAACGAAAGCTGCTGCAGTGAGGACGGCCACACGCCTCCCGAGATGGATCGGTTGAAACAATACCCAAACGACAATTTCTTCAGGGAAGCCGGCCACATGGCTCCAACGATGGGCTGGTTGAAGAAAAACCCAAACGATATCTGCTGCAGGGAGGCAGGCCACACAACTCCGGCGATGGGCTGGTCGAATATATCCGCAAACGACAGACAATCCAAGCAGGCCGGCCACACGACTTCGGCGATGGGCTGGTTGAAGTCAACTCCAAACGATAGCTGTTGCAGGGAGGCCGGCCACGCGACTCCGATGATTGGCTGGTTGAAGCAATATCCAAACGATAGCTGCCGTAGGGAGCCCGGCCACACGGCTCCGAAGATTGGCTGGTTGAAGCAGTATCCAAACGATAGCTGCCGTAGGGAGGCAGGCCACACGGCTCCGAAGATTGGCTGGTTGAAGGAATATCCAAACGATAGCTGCTGCAGGGAGGCAGGCCACGCGACCCCGACCATTGGTTGGTTGAAGCCACAACCAAACGATAGCTGTTGCAGGGAAGCAGGCCACAACGCCGTGTTCACGGTCATATCCGAATCAAATACCAGCCGTTTGAGCCTTTGAGGCCAAACCACCCATCCTAGGCGTGCTGCAGATGAGTGTGCGTTTGCACGCCGATATCCTGACCCTGAGCGTGCTTCAATGGCAGATCTCTGCTGCAGAACCTCCATCGGAAGTGCCCACGTCAAACCAAAAGCCTGCACAACCGGCACCCGGCTCGAGATGCAAACCTCTGGACTGCGTTTGTTGGCTGTGGTGTGTGATTGGCTAGGGAACCACAAGCTAGGAGGGGTTTGTCGCTTGACACGTACGTGCAAGGTCTGGACACTTCTGCACGCCCCACAAACCTCCAGCGACACGAGCTGTAGCTCCAGCGTAGACACATACCAGCGCTTTTCTTGTCCATCGCAAGCCTGGTTCAAGGCAACGACGAAGGCGTCCAGGCACTTGCTGTTTCCTGAGATTGTGGATGGCAGGTATACACGTAGGAACGCAAACAAAAAGTGTTGTGGGCCTTGGGGCAGTTCCTTGACGCGCGACCTCGGTGGTTCAAGTCAGAGACAGGGGGGAAGGACGGAAGGGAGGGAGAAGATGCACCAAGGTTGGTACTATCAAGCTCACGGCAAACCAGACGACTACCAACAGCAGCCCTTGATCATTCAATGCAGCGGTGCCCAAGGTTTGACCATCTATTCATGTTCGACACCCTCGTCTTGTCTGTTCATGTTCGACACCCTCCCTTCGAACAATATTTAGATCGGGCGGGCAAATGTACCATTCGACAGGCCGGTGCAATACCCATGAAAAAATTGTCATCTACTGTAGGTTATCCAGTTTCAACGTTGGTGAAAATATGCCTTTGGCACTAAACTGGAGCTACTCCCTAAAACCGCACCCTTGATACAAAGAAGCAATAGTCAAAGCAATCCACGCTCTTCGCCACCATTCCCGGTGATGCCGGCTCAACACTTCCTTCCCCGAAACTTGGCAAATCTACCCCACCACTCTCCGCTCGTGTGCCTGAATCGTTAAGGATGACGTTTCTCTCAAACATCCGAGACTTGTTGATCCTAGCTGGTGTCCAAGCGCATTTCTGCAGGCGCAACCGGAACAACATATAGACTCTGCACAGCTGGTCGTCTCCGCGGGATCGGCCTTCATTTATCGTGCTCCAGTCGAGTTTCGAAGCAGCGACCTCCGTCGTGGAGGGAGTCACATGCCAGCCCAATAGTTCAATACTGGCCACAACGAAGTGCAATGTGTTTGGAGAAAGTACCTCTCTATCCTCAAGGAGCACCATGATGGTCTCTGCCCACGCTATTGCTGTAGCTCACCCCCCCTACATTTTTCGTCGAGTTTTCCAGACGAGAACAGTGTTTCGTAGATCTCCGCTGATGCGCATGGCAGCTTGTTTGTGATGTTGTGCATGCTTCGACACAAACAATTGCCCGCGCGGTGCCGCCTGACCTCTACAAGTCTCAGCGGACAGGCCAGAATAGACTTTGTTTTCATGCGTTATAGGCTAGCCCCAGCAGCAGGAGCGGGAGGGCCACGGAAGGGACGTAGACACCGTGCTTTCCATTCGCCGTAGGGATAGACAGCTAGACCCCGAAAACAGTGCAAAAAGCGAGCGATCCCCGAAAAGGAACGGAGGAGACCGTAACCGCAGGATCTAGCCCCCAGACGCGAGTACTTGTAGAAACAGGAGAACCCCGAGCGCCACTGCCAGACATTTCTCCCGTGTGTCTCGGGTCATGACCACCTTCTCATGAAAAAGCATGGAAAGCGCTTGGTGTTAAACATCACGGCGCCGGTAGCCTGCTGGTTCGTGTCGCCCAAGAGCAGGAACAACACCAGAATGAACGAGAAGGAAGACCAACGCCCCATGATGCGTACGTGCGTCCACTGAGGGTGTTCTGTAGAAAAGGCGGCCGATTTAGGAGTAGAGCTGTGGGGCTCCTCGCAACTGGGTCATGCCGTGGGCGGTTGCCACGACTGTTTCGACGCTGGAGGACAGGGGTACGTCTTTGTTGCTGTCGCCTTGCCTACAGAAAACACGCATTTCTCGGTGATGGTCCAGTCGGGTAGCACCGCGCTACGTAGACCTGGTACTTCTTGACGCTTTCCCGACATGTTCAGGATACGGTAGAGGCGTGGGCAGCGGAGAAGTGCCAACTCTAGCAGTAGAAGATGCTGGATGCCTTGTGCTTTTTTTTATGGACAGGCTCTCTATTTCTCTTCCTCATAAACACGCAAACACCCGTGGGATCCTACTAGTAGACGAGGACTGTTGTACAGCGCAACACACCGGATCCTTGCAGGACGAGTACCCGGAAAAATTCACCAGCGCTCACATATGGTGTGAGGAAGGCGGCGCTAGTTTCGTTGCATCACGATTAGTTGTCAATCTGCTTCGCTTCAGGTTTGTCGGAGGCAGATCACCAACAGAAAAATACATACACACAGCAGTGCAGGGTCGCAGATAAAGAAACGTCAAAATCGAGTCGTGGTTCAATTTCTTGCTTCGTCACAACCGTCGAGCACAGGCTGCTATTGTATTGCGTGTAGTGTAGGATTCGCGGCTGAGCTGTGCTTCTTAAGCCCGTTTTCTCAGTTCTCGTCAAAATCTGAGCGTTCACGTTTCTTAACGAAATTTCTTTAACTGTGGTGCCCGCACTGCTGAAGAAATGACAACACTTACGCGTCCCAACTTCGTACGACGCGCAGTGAAACGAGCGACCGTACATAGGGTGCCGTGGTCGGTGATGGGGTCGTTGAGCACCGCACACGAAGACAGCAATAGACAGACACGCAGAGACCTCAACACGATAAAAAAAATGGGCAAACGACAGAAATCCGTAGGTAGAAGATCACGCTTCCCCCTTTGGGAGTGGGTCCCCAACCCATATCATTGGAAGAGATAAGCCAGAAATCGCACGTGCAAAATACCGCTCTCTCTCTTCGCGGGTGACCCAAGCCAAAAAAAAATGTGACAGCATGGACCGCTAAATGGGCACCATGACTGTACCGAGGCGGCTGTGGTGTTGCTCCCCCGCCCACTGCTGTTGTTGGTGGTGTTCCTCGAACCCACTCTTTCGGGGGGGATGCTCATACACCGCCGAGGTCGCTGACGCCCGCCCACGGGCAAATTGCGCGGCTGATATTTCGGCGGTGGCATCCATATGACTCAAGCAATGAAGGCGAAACCGACAGTCCGGTCGAAAGCGCCACAAACTGCTCAAAGGAAAACTCGATTATTATTCTGTGTTCAAGTGATATTTGGACGGTCCACATCAGTTTTCGATTCAGGAAATGCATCCCGTAGCTCTACGCTGGTTGGCCAAACCCACCATGCGCCGTTTAGTATCGTGCCCTTCACGCGTTTCTAGAAAGACTGCCCGCACAGGATATTTGCGCACATGCCGCCGTCAGGCTTGTAAACTGCACGATTACTCGACCTCCTGGCGCCAGGACCAAGAGGAGGGACTAGTGCTGTACGTGCCTCCAATGGGGCAGCTGAGGTCATGAACGCGACCGGGACGATGATAACTTTTCGAGGGGGAGGACAGAAGTACGGCGGGGGGGCCTCTACAGCAGTTGCGGCCCGCCGTTGAGAAAAATCTATTTCAGAAAAAGACCCGCAACTTATGAGGAAAAATAAGAAAAAGTGACAAAGAAACACACCTCAACACGGACGCAAAGATATTAAACATCCGAATAAGAAAACACACACCCACAGAGGCATGAGACATAAGAAACTACAGTAGGGGACCGTAGCTCATGGCAAATAGCTTGAGTGTCTTTGTGCTTTTCTTCCAAACAATGCATTGTTTCCATGTTGCACAGGGGGGGTCACACCTCGGCACCTTGGCAGCACGAGTTAGACGAGACCCCCGGAAGTGGTTTGTCCATTGAGTTTCTGTATTTCGCACTCACCGGTTGGGAGACGTTCGTGGACGGAGGATGGATATGGTCGTCGAAAGAATGGGTTACATAAGAATCGGCAACTAACTGAGTGACGCATTAAGGCAGGCGATAGAGCCAAAACTAAGAAATTGTCATGAACAATCGTGAGTGTTCGACCAACAACCAGAAATATATGAAACTCAATTATTAGAAAAAGGGTCCTTACGCTGGTGTTTGCTCCAAAACCAAGACTTTGAGCCTCGACCCGAAATTGACGTTTCTTATTCGCGGGCCCCAACTGTATAGTGCGGGTTATATACTGCGGGTGCCCGCTAATAGTGCGGGTGAAATCGCCTGGCCCCTCAATAGTGCGCGGGGGTCGTGGCATCCCCCTTTAGCGCGGCTTTTTTAATAACCTCACGGAAAGACTCTACCCGTTCGAGGTATAACCTCAGTCGGAAGGGATGTGATGAAGTATTTTCAGCAAGTGGATTGAAACCGACTGGAGACTGGGCTATTCATTTTTTGAGTTGTCCCTCTCCAGACCCTCAATAATAATGCGGGTACTGACGTCTCACCCTTCTGAGTGCGGTCAAATACGCACAAACTCCCGACAAAGGCAACACACAGCTGCTGCCGAAAACTACGGAATGATGGAGGCGGGCAGGAACACCAACCATCGCCCCGTACGGTATAGATAGGCCCTTTTGCTAACCCCCTCTCTTCCTCTGCAGCATCAACCCAGACCAGTCCGATGTCCTCTCACCTGCCGTAGTCATGGCAAACCGCAATTCGCCGTGATGAGCACGTTGTGGTTGTAGCAGTACAGCAGTCCGTGGGCTGTTGGCCGCCTTCTCTCCTTCCAGGGCTGTGTGGAACTATCTATGCTAATGTTATCCGACCGCGGGCCCACAGATGGATTATGCTCTTGTCTTACAGCTTTCTTGTCACTTTGTGCGCACACCGAGCAACCCAGAGTCCCAGCAAGCACCCGACCAGCTGATGATGAATGACGAAAAGACCACACGCGACAGCGCACCACATGAGTGCGGAGGAACTCCATGATTGCAGCAAATCATGACGTCATGACACGACAAATAACCATGGGTGGGTACAACACGGTACGGTGTTTTTTTTTTTTTCTTAGTATTGAGCCAACGAATGCATCTCTACCTAAAGAGTTTTGCTTTTTGGGGGGACGCAATGTGGTTGGCTCCAAGGGATTACGCCAACTAAATACTATAAAATGAATGACAATACTGCACAACAGACGCGGTGTGTTCGACAGAGCAAGTAGCGGGTGTTTTGCATGTTGTTGTGTATGGTACAACATTTCGTTGTCGTGACCGCCGTAAGGCAAACTCCCGGCGGGGCATGCATTATTGCCATATGGGATGTGATGTACCCAAGGAATCCGTTCGTCTCTCTGCCAGTACGCATGGTAGCTGCCGGCTCACCGCTGCTGCGGTTTTCGGCATCCACCTCCAGAGATGAGTTTGTTACTCAAGCAACTACAATATTAGAGATGGGACAGCCGACATGCAGTCGGCCCTACAAAGAGAGTTGGAAACATGGAGGCACAAAAAACGATCGTTCTAGTTTTAACGTTTTAACGGAAGTTCGGAACATGAAACTCCTAAATTGCCAATACTTGGGAGAACGCTTCTCACAAAGAAAATGGGTGTTTCCACTGAAAGAGAGCATGCAGTATCATTGGATCTGCAACACCGTCCGTGCCTTGCACGTGAGAGCACACCACGCGCTGCACCCCTTCATTTTTAATCGCTGCCACACGTTCTCGCAAGAAAATCGACAAAATTCCTAACGTACTACTCGGGTACTGCTCTGCCACGATCGAACTCGCCAACAACACGAGTCAGCGCCAACAACTTCGACCAAACCCAGCTCTTCTCTCAAACCGCGTCGCCGTTACTTCTGTGGTACGCCGTTCAAGAAGAAACAGCCAAATAAAAAATATATATTGAAAACCTCTCTCTCTACACTGACTGACCTGTCGGAAAACATCGGGCTAGCGTTTGTCTCTACCCCCCCCCCCGCACACCCCTGCTCCGTTTAACCAAACCTAACCACAACATGGCCCTGCGTAACCAAGTTCCCGGCTGCGTGCCCCCTTTCCGTCTACCCGGCTGCCTACTCCCACTCCCACTCCGTCTCCCACACCGGGTGCATCATCAACTCCTTGAGAAGGGTGGTGCCTCGCAACGCGCTGGTGAGAGGGAGGTGTCCCCTGGGGGCCCTGTCCACGTCGTAGATGAACTCGTTGGCGCCGAACCAGCGCAGCTTGCGCTCCACCTGAGGGCAAGACGAGATCGAACATCGAGAGAGCAAAAAAAAAACAGGACGACAATAGGGGCGAGATAGTAAGTGGGACAAGGTGTACTAGATAGGGCGGGGTAATGAGCCGCTGGGTAGAGACTCAATACCTCGCAGTAGTCTTATCTGCGACGCTGATAGTGGTGCACGAATCCCGACACACAGCAGCGTGAATCATTTGTGGTGCAGCTACGCGTGCACCAGAGGGACAGGCCGCAGGGGTGCGACGGGCACAACGATGGTTGTTGTATGTGCGGCCCCGTTCAAAAAATTGCACTGTACACTTTACACGCGGTTGTTTCTTTTCCGTTGATGCACATGCACACACCCACGAAGAAACAAAATGTGAAGTCTTCCCGCTGTGAGGACGCAAAGACGCACATCAGGGAGGCACGCATGCGGCATGCGCCTGGCGGCGAGGGCATCACATATCACACCGTCGAGGGGCACGACCACCAGCGTAGACATAGGAATTGTGACAAGACAGATGGCAAATATTGCGTCAGGCTCACAACTTGCCCGCCACACTCGTCAAGTGAAAGCGAGCAGTCTACATATTGTATCATACATCACGGGACACCACTACATGCGTACGCAGCACCAATAACAACAAATTCGTTGATGGTCATGACTTTGATGCGAGCAGCGACAGCAGGCAGGGCACGGATTTTTCGAAGACAGTCAGTAGCGCGGCGCAAGTTACGCAACCTGAACCGATTCCGCGGGGAACCATCCTGATAACGCACAGCAGCAGTAGTAGCCCCTCACGCCGCTTCGGATTCTCTCGATGGTAGGTGCGATCTCTAGACTTGGGAAGGTGTGGTATGATCGGTGTTGTTCGTTTGTGATAATCGGTCTGCTGTTGTTTTGGGAGAGCAGTCGGTTCTGTATATACAAAGAGGGCTAGACACGAAAACGGAGCCCCGCCCCCACACGCGTGCCGTTACATTTTCTTGTGTGTTAACGTTAGCTCAAATGACGAAACAAGAAAAATCTGGTAGAGGTTCTGCAGTGGGGGGGGCTCGTATCGGCCCCGTGCAGCAGTACCTAGCTGCCGGTCTTTTCCCTCCTAGTCCTTTCTGTACCTTTATCCTCTCACTTGTTGTCTTGCTGTCTGCTTTTGCTTTTCCGTCGGTGCCTGTACCTAAAAATGAGCCGCGGAGCGAGCGAAGCGAGCGACCTTTTTTCCCTTCTCATCCCCAGGAGGGAAAAAAAGGCTCAATATATCGGCCGAAGTTGCGCGGCGCGATACAGGGGCCCCAAAACTTGATTTCCGTGACGCATACTTATCGCACCTTTCGGACCAGAACGAGACCGATAGGGCACCGTTTGACGATCTGTTCACTTCTGAGCAAAGAAAAATTACACGCTCTTCGTCACACCGGTTTGGTCGTGCTTCGGCAACAGATGGTCGTGCTTCACAGGTATATGTGGCCCAATTTCGTAGGAGATCTCGTCCCCGCATGCCCAGGAGTTGTGGAGAGGTAAAATGCCCGAGCTATCGGAGATTGCACACACACACAGAACACGCGGTAGAGTTCAAACTTCAAACCCCGGCAGGACAACACCACATCAGCAGAAGGAGAACAATAGGACGCTGATCCGAGACCAGCTATATATGAAAACCACGAGGGGCCGGGCCTGTACGACTTGTGCACCGTGGGTATTTTCATACGCCGTGTGTCACCTGGCGGGTGTTGTTGATGTTGAGTGGCAGCAACGCAAGGATTGGAGCTGAAGCAGAGTCTCGCTTCGAGGCTACGCGACACAGCAGACCTTTAAGTAGGCATACAAGCACCGAACATTTTCCCTGCAATGGGCCAGCCGTGCTTCAAACATAGGGTTCTAAACAAAAAAAAAAAAAAAACAGGCGTAAAAGTGGTGTAACCCCTCTCTTGGAACCACAGCCTTCGCGTGCTATTCATGTACATAGCAAAGCGCACCTCAGCGTCCATGGTAGTCCAGCCGATGCGGCGGCAAAAGTTCTCGAAGTCGCCCTTGGTCTTCCGCCAGAGGTCCTTTTGTACGCTGTAGCCGAACTTTCCCTTGCTGTAGCTCAGCCACAGGTTCTCCATGGTCGCCAAGTCCGTGCTGAACAAGGGCAAGATATTCATGTTTTGGTGTGTTAGGACAGACTATCCACGTTTGTTTTGTTGTGTTTGGGCAGACAAGGCAATTGAATTAGGGGGCAAAAACGTGCGCGAAGATGTACATAGCCATGAGGTGGTGGCGGGCAGCACAAAATTCAGCACGACATGCGGCCTCCAAGGCCAATGAGCTCGACACGGCATCGAGGGGTTATGTACGCCCTGCGATATTTGTCGGGCGTGGCTGTCGCAATCGCAGGTGCGACAGGGGGGTTGCACGCGTGGAATAATGCTCATCTCTGTGATGGCGAAGAAAAATAGGCCAGGAACATGTTCAATGTATCCGAGGAGGCAATAACGAGGCGTCTTCAAATGTCTGGCCCGGGTGGTACCCTCGGCCTGTGTTAGGAAAAAGTCCCGAAATTTCTCCACAGCGGCACAACGACGGCTCGCAAACGTATGCGGTGGGATGAGTAGGCCCTCGCGAGGATATTAAGCTTGGCTTTATAGGGTAGGGTAAGGGATAGATAGGAATACGAACCCCCCCTCTCTATTTCAAAGGTAAAGAACGATATGTCCTCGCGAAAGTCGGTCGGGTGGGATGTGCCAAACGAAGACAACGGAAGGGGACCGGGGCAAGAAAGGCGAAGGATTTCAGCAACACCCGAAGCCGCGGAGCGTGAGAAGACAGAACATCAGCACAACCGTAGAAACTGCGATACTGCTTGTGTACCGGGAAACTAACACTGCTGTTGTGGGCACTGGGCGGCACGCTTTTCTACGACGCGAGCTCGTGAATATTTGCTGCTTGCACGAATCCTGGATTGTCATCGGAATTGCACCCTCTCCTCTCAGCCGTACAATACCAAACGGGCCTAGACACCGTGGAAATCAACCGGAACGCTGGGTGGGAGATGGGATTTTCTCTTAGGGCAGCAATCTGTCTACTACGAGGATTTACTGACAGTCTTAACAGTAGTGTGCGAGGGAAGCAACAGGGGGTGAGAATCGTCGCTTTCTTGCTTAGACCGGACACAGGCGAAACATTGCAACTATAATAAATAGTCTACAGCAGTACCTGCTGTTCCGACGGGAGAACATGCCATTTCCTCCGGAATCCGCGGTGTCATTTTGAGTGCAAGACCAAGAAGGAGCACGACGGCACTGGCTGCGTCGCTGCTCCGTAATAATGCTGTGTCACGATTCACACTCATCTTTTATTGTAGTGCGGTATCGCTATTTACTGCTATATTTTAGCGATGGGTAATCGCTGCCTTGACACCGCCGTCGAGCCGCTGTTGTGCTGCTCCCAGCTGAGACATGAGAGCAAGAAGCGTCCTCTACTGCTTGTACCATACGCCTGTGTGACGGAAGAGCGCTGTCTACCACAGGTACTGCTGTGTACAACAGGAGAAGTACAAAAAGTCTACTGCTTTGTTGGTCGTCCCGAGGACGCAAGACCGCGTGCAAGGTTCTTCGTGCTGTCTCTATTTCGTCTACGCTAGGCCATGGCTTGCCGAAAGACCCTGCTGTCTTAATGCTACTCTTCCCCTGCCAATCGCTACGCCCAGTCGGCAAAGATGGCTCGAGGTACTCCCGTTCCTCTCGTTCCTAACTGCTCCCTTCCTCTCCAACTGCTGATCAAACGCATACAACATAGATGTGAGTGTCAAAACAAATACATGACGGCGGACACGTGTGTCGCGTTGCCGGCCTGTGCGGGAGCAATAAAAAAAATCCAGCGCTCATTTTACGCATGTACGGCATGCAGGAGCTTCGCGCATGAGGTCGTCCAAACTCACTCCAACCAACCACCAACACCGACTCACGGCTATCACGACCTCGAAATCTAGCCGGCACTATCAGACCATGCGGCTGCATCGGTGCTACATGTAGCAGAACCATGCTCCCGACTCCTACGTATGCTGCACTCCTCGATCCTCATGCAGTAACATGGTCTCATCTATGTCTCACTTGGGGATGTTCTTGACCTCCGTCCAGTACACAAAGTCCCTCTTTTGGCTGCCCGCTCCCGCCGCCTTGATGAGTGCGTCCCGCGTGAACTGGTCGGCGCCCTTGAGGTCCCCCGTGGCCAACATCGTAGCCAGCGGCACGTAGTCTATCCCGCACTCCGACGGCAATGTGGTGGGAATGTCTCTCGTCGGCTCCCGAGCTACGGCCGCGGCCGCCGCAGGAGTCTCCTCGGCGGTGCTCATTCGCAGCTGTGACGCGTATCGTCGTCCGCCGGCCTTCGCGGCGACAGGATGTCGGCTCGGCGCTTGCGTGCGTGCGGCGTGGTCGCAGCTTGGTCGCGCCGCCGCTCTGCTGTGCTGGGACCGGATGATGGCCGGAGAGGTGAAGGCGCTCGTTGTTGAGGACCCTAGCATGGCCATGCCGGCCACCGCCATCAGTACTGCACAAGAGACCATTGTGTCGCGGCCGTGTATACACCTCCTGTAAACTTGCCACACCTGTATCGCTCTTCCTCTCTCTCTCTCTCTCTTTCAGGTGCTCTCGCTCTCGCACGCGTACGTTGCTCTCTGTCGCTCTTGTTGCCCTTGGGTTGGACGGCCGATAGCTTCCTTGCAAGCCAGAGGAGAGCTGCCCGCGCTGCATGAACAAAACGCCATAATATCTACACGAAACCGTCGAAGGCTTTTTTTTTTTCTCCAGAACGCTTGACCCGCGTGTGGTCCCACACCGCGGTCTCTCAAATGATGAGCCTACCTGCTGGGTGTGCATGTGAACGGCTACACGGCAACGTGTTTAAAAGCACCTGACAACAGCAGCAGTATCATAACAATTGTGTTTACTTCAGATATCTCTTCGGGCAAATTTTGACTCGAAGACGGCGAAAATTCGAAAATTGAAGCAACTACGATTTGCCCAGCAGCGCACAGCAGAGTCTAGAGTTTTTGAGTCTAGATACCTCAGTGTGGTGAGGAATATAGGTGCAGTGTGGTGAAGAATATAGGTGTGTTGTCCGCATACCATCCTTGTGTTCGGCCAGATCAACACGCAAGCCTTCAAATAACAAGAGAGATCGCGCAACAGAAGCAAAAAAATCATGATGAAACTCGCTCAATCGAGCGAATGGACGGCCGTCAGGGGTGTGCAGTGCAGTAAATAGGTGGCGAAATCAAGAACAGAGAACACGACATAACAGCAGTCTCAAGGGGTTAGGGGCGTGAAAACAAACTCTCGAGTTTTGGACACAATAATACGTGCGTTCGTGATGATTGGTTCGTATAATTTATCTGTTCAACTATATAGTGTTCATACTTCATATTTATTGGTCTCGTAAGACAACCTGCCACTCAACAGGCATGTATTAGCTAGTATGTACGCGAAGCACACTCGGCAACAAACACACAGCAGGAGTGCTACGCAATTAATGCATACTCCGTACACCCATGAAACGAAGTTCTGCAAGCACTAGGGCATTCCCCCCCATCGCTCCCCGCACCTACACCCATATAGAATATTTCTGTACGCAAAACGACTATGCCGCCCCCCGCATGCCCCCGATGTTGCTGGTTTTCTATCCATGGCCGCCACGCCGCCCGTGCCCCTCGTCCCCCTCCCCCTAACCCCCCGTGGCTAATACACTTCCAGATTCGACCAAAGCAGCAATGATCTTAAACCATACACACACGCTCCTCTGTGCGTCATGTTCTACTACTACAGTGCTCGTTGATGGCGCTTTCGTCCCAGGTGGAGCAGCAGCGCAGAAAGCACGCGCACGCCCTCCAGATACCCCCCCATCGAGCGCGGTAGTAGATCCATAGCCCAAGTCGCGCTCGGCGATAGTACCGCTGCCTCAAAATGGCCCCCTAGAATAACTCTCGCGCGCGCGAAACACCAAGAGTACCGCAACGCAACGAGTAAAAAGGCCCCTCGTCAATGGATTTCCTGGTAGACCCCCCCCCCTGCCATCTCGCCCCCCCTGACGGAACCCCCTTGGTTCTCCGATGCTACAATACAGCAGAAACTAATCTCCAATGTCTACTGCTGGCATTGATCGCCCAGCTCATTCCGCCTCGCTAAGCAAGGCTCTCTCAAAGAAACCGCGAACACGCAACTCCCGCACTAAACGACAAAAAAAAAAATTGAGTCCGCTACAGAGGCCCAAAAGATGTACAAACAAGCGTTGTTCGTGGCGCCACGAATAGTGTAAGGAACGTGCAACACAGGAATCGAAGCGGAAACGGAGTACGAATGACCCCGGACATACTTCGCATACAAACACGCCCCGTATCTTGTTATCGTTCACAAAACCACCGCCCCCTCGAGAGATGAAGCCTCGACTTCCGCTTCGGCCATCTGGGACTACAGTCAGTCGTCATCGTCCCGGTTTGGCGGTCTATAGCGTCACAAAATGCTAATACCGATGTTGAGGGCATCGCCGCTAAAGTGGATCGGCAGAAACTGCATAACTAGTACTATAGTTTGATTACCGAGGCGCAGCCGTGCCACGAGATTTTGGAACCGCTACCTACCATATACGACACAAGACAACACACCCCCTGGGCCGATTTTCAAAGCTCGATTTCTCATCAGCAGAAAGAGCCACAGCGCCGAAGACGGCGGCGTTGAAGCTGTCTCGTCGAGAGCTTTCCGAAAAGGTTTCGTTTCGTTTACGCATCCTCTTCGTCGTCTCTTCGTCGTGGCGTAATCCACCTTCAAAAATCGGTCTACGGGGTGTGTTATCTTGTGTGGTGTATGTATTCAGGGCATCCCGCAGGGATTGAACCGCTAACCAGGATCACGGCTGTACATCAATACGCTCGCAGGGCGCTCCACGACGAACGCTTTACACTCTAAAATCCAAAACAAGCGAGTAGGAATCGGGGGGGATGTTCGCGTTCCACCTTACCCCCCCCCCTCCTTGTCTTCAAGAGGAAAACTGTGTCCATGAACACGTTGATACAAACAGCGACTATTCCAAAAGCGACACAACGAAACCACACCAGATCGTCCTCTTCTGCGGACTCGAGATGCTTGGGAGACTTACACAATAATGTTGACGGCAAAGGGTGTCGTCTGTCTTCCACCAGCGAGCTCTCGCTGCAGCATCACACGAGGTCCCCCCCTTGCGGCCGGATGACTTCTTGCAGCTCGGTGTAGGCGTTTGCGGTGTAACTGACGCCCCCGTGGACGGTATTGCCGGTAGAGAACTCGCTCATGTCCGCCAGCATGCTGAGTGGCCCAGGTGGATGCGTGTCCATGAAACACGCGGTGTGGGTATCGCGCAGGTTTGAGGTAGTCGTGACGTACACAGGGAGACAGACAGACAGAGACAGACAGACAAACAGACAGAGACAGAGACAGAAACAGACAAAAAAGACAGACAGGAAGGCAGAGTGATAGAGGGGGGGGACAGACAGACAGGCAGACGGACAAAGACAGGGACAGTGAGACAATGAGACAGACAGACAGAGAGGAGAGAGAGAAAAACAAACAGGGCTACTCTCGGAAGTCAAAACGTGGCGGAGGCCAAAAGCAGCAGAGCAGAGGGGAGAAAGGGGTGCGCCCGGCGTCTCCAAAATGACAGCAGTAAGGAAGACATTCGCCGCAAAAAACACACGGCGGGCTGAGGGCTGCGCAGGGTTGCCGCATGCTCAAGGCCACCCTACACTTCTCTCGCGCACGTGTGGCAGCAGGTTGCAGGAGCAATATGCAGGGGAGCTCGAAGGAGGCAAAAAAGCCGGAAGACATGGGTTGGTGCGCCAGACCCCCTACTAAACACTCCATCCGTAAATGCTGGTGCGCTACATACATAAAATTACGCTTGCAGCCGTCACTATGACGTCAACAAATTCACCGCAGCATGAAATAAGGAAGCCAGGCTTGGGCTCGGTAGGCGAATGCGTTGGTACTTCTACTATGTAGTACTTTCGTTGTCGATTTGGGTTCTTGCAATGAAAATAGAGTAGGAGAAAAAAACGACTACCGAGCACCAGCCTAAACGGAAAACACACCACACACCACTGACCTCGTCGGCTGCGTCCCACACCACAGCTCCCGGCAGTTGGGACCGAACGACCGGTGCGGGACGTTCCCCCTACGCTTCTCCCCCCGAAGGTACTCGTTCGTCGTCTGGCCCTTCGCCAGCAGGTACACGTGAAAACACAGCAGCGCCCCGACCAGGACCGTGATCATCGCCGTCCACAGGCCCAGCACCGGGCTCACGAAACGGCTACCCCTGTCAAAGGAAAAAGTGAAACGGGGGGGGGGGGGGGGGGGCTAAGTGAACACTCCGCAACACTGTATACAAACCGACAATGAGAATATGTGTCATGAACGCGCGGATAGACTGACCAAGCACAACCCAAAAAATGATCAACCTGAGCGTCGCTGACTGACATGAATTCCGGCAAATCGTAGTTGCACAAAATACCGCCCTTGAAAACTAAGCCTCCAGTAAGGTATACAAAAGTGAGACCGTGGTTGACGAACGCCAACGTCGGCACAATGGCTGTTGAGAGCGGAAACTATTGCCGGGGTGCACTCCAACCCCCTTCATTTCCCGACGTGACGCGCGCACGCAAAAAAAACAAGCATTCAAGACTTGAAAAAAAAATAATAATAGCACATTTCGAGATGAAAGCTAAACATTTCAGGGCCGGCGGAGTAGAGAAACCACAGCAAGAACAACAGCAGCCAAGAGACCAGTAGAAACACAGGTATCAGGGAAAAATAACACTACTGTATTATATGAATTTATCGCTAGTTTGCGCTGGACTCTAACCTGCAAAAAAAGGAGTGGGCGTGCGCGAATCGCTCACAACTCACACATCTGCGGATAGATTCGGATTCGTGCTGTTGTCGTGAGAAAAACAAAAAAAAACTTGTAAAACATCCCCTTCGATTGTGGTATTATCTCGTACAGGTAGTCTCTATTTGTACGTATACACATCTTCAAAAAAAAAAGCAATTGGGTGTGTACGACTGACTCACGGTAGATTGACCGAATCGGTGAGGTACATCGGCCCCACGTGCCCGGTCCGGGTGACTGTGTGCACCACGCTCATGGCGCACACGAGCGACGAGCTGATGGTGATCAGGATGATGAAGGCCATGAAGGAGCGGTAGTTCCGGGCACCGACGCAGTTACCGGTCCTGTGAGACGTAGGAGGCGGCATTGTTTGGGGGTAAGGGGGAGCGTATATTATGTGTGTGTGCGTGTGTGTGTGTTTTTTTTTTTCTTTTTTAGCATCGACCGCGCTAACCGGCTGACCAATGAAAAGACGTCAGTCTCGGTGCGGGTCAAAACACAAAAAGTTTCAAAAGGCAACGATCGGGGACCCCGTGAGGGGGCGTCATGGGGGGGGCGTGTGTGTGTGTGTGTGCCGTGCATGTTGTGTACGAGCGCGCAAAGACCAAGTCCCTTGCGGCACTTCCAAGTGTAGTGCCTGCCGAAAGTGAAACGATTGGTTGGCCAGGAGATGCCCAATCAACAAACATGGCATATCTGGTGTGGCACAGCAAACGCAAGCATGACGACCAGCTTCTGGTTCATCGTAGCCTG